CTCAGTTGACCAAAACAGATTACCAGATTATGAGCCACACTTATTGTAAGAAGTTGTTAATGATACTAGATAGTTTTTGAGTATGAAGTCGGTTAAGTGGATCCATTGGCTAAAAGTCAATGAGCCACAAACGCTGCTCCAACCTGTGACGACGAGTTGATTGAAGCTCAAGTAAGTGCACCGTACAGCGCATAGATACACTTCATTACTCGGTAATATTTCTTGATCTGATCCACCCTAATACTATTCAAACAAATAATGATCTTCAAGGAAGACAGTGATTACCACATATATTTAACACATGTGGCTTTGTCTAGTTTTTTCTTTTGAGAACACATTGAAAGAACTACACATTTAACAGCTGAAAAGGAACAACTTTTTATATCTATGATAAGCAATACACAAGCGCCAATAATATCTTCAATATCTCTGGTATTGGTGCTGCATATGTTTGGTGTAGATTAAGTGAACAAAGATTCAGTAATCAACCCCTCTCTCTCTCTCTCCACATGCCTATATTTCCTTCCTAAAACAGCAGCTTTGTCCCACCCTATTGTGTGTTGATGCATGCATTCCAATTACCGAGTTGTTCTCTAATCAAATGATAAGAAATAATGGAAAGATATAAACAAAATCTGGGACAGTCTTTGTCTATAACAGTCTAGAGTTCTGTAAAAATAATTCTCTAAACACAATGTCTAAAGAATCACAAATCACTCATCTTTACGGTGCCAATATTAGTTTAATCTAGCTAGCTAAGTGTACAAGTGATGGAGAAGTTTTTTGTAGCTCGGTATGATTTATTTTTGATGTGTGGTTGGTTCTATTCACTGAGATGAGTGATTTTCAATTGCAAAGCTTTTATAGTCTTTCCAGACAAGGTGAAGAAAGTCTTCAGTGCAAACTTCACACTGAAGTCAAACCACAACTACAGTGAATCTATATATGGATGTCATTGAATTCTGTATGCCGTAACAAATTAAAGAGAAGACACTTGCTTATTTATTAACAAGAAATCTAAGGCTAATATTGTTTGAATGGATAGATAGAATGTAATAAAAAAAATGACCTATCTAGCGGATAGGCACCTAAAGCTCTCTGCATGAAGAGAACCGTTAGTTCACTATAGGATAAATACTGGGAGAAAGTTCACTTTGTTCTACGAAAAGGTGTACAGCTTTATGCATGCACCACCACCATACGGTGTAAACATGTGTGTATTTCACCCCCGATAGGCAGGTAGGTAGGTGAAATATCCTCCTTGGAAATTGCTTTACTAGCAGTTAATATCTATATCTTAGATGAAATTAAACATTGGGAGAATAAATAACTCAGTTCCTGCGTGATACATCCATCCATCAATCCATCCGCACACACACACAAACGGACATACGCATTATAATTATCCAATTAGCATAAAATACCGAAACTAATTGTAACATACAATGAATAAAATTGAGAAATTTGTTGAATCTTGTTAAGGTTAATTATACAAGTAAAAGAGAAAGAAGGTTAACAGTATGATCTGATTACTGATCCACTGTGAATCACCAAATTGATGAAATATATTGCACAAAACACCTACACACAATTCACTAATTAACACTGTACCCTACGCTTGCAGTGGAATCCAGGAGGCAGGTTCACTCACTGCTGTTAGCGTTAGGTCTTGCTTCTCTAACTGATGAGTTCCGAATAGGACACCATGCTTGTTCTAAATTCCACCTTATCCACTCAGTAACATCATAATAACCTCGAGAATTCATCCTAGAAGTGTCCATAATAAGAGCCGACGTGTCAACAGCAGGATATCCAATAACAATCACTTCAACAAGAATAACCCCATATGCCTCTGGAGGGTTATCAATTTCTTGAAAAGAATACGATTGGTTCTACCAACATACTATTGTCTGATAAAGTCAGGTTGCAAGTATACAAGACTATGGTGTATAGTGCAGTGATAAGACTATCACCAAATGAGTACACAAAAAATGCTGACAACTTAACTGGAAACTATTGCTTGGCAACACTTAGTGCTGCTGTCTTTTTTAATGGTGTAGAATTAAATTGGTGGACGGTAACTAGTAGTGGAATCCAGGTTGCCCATTTCGTCCTACTTGGGACTTATCATCCAGATGTGCCCGGAATCCCAGGTGACAGTGTTCCTCCTGAGGCTAGAACCCGTCACCCATAGTTTCGAACACCAAAGAGTTATTCACTAGACCACTTGGACCGTGAGTGACACCTATTTGTGCAACGGTAATTATTTGATTCAATTTAAACTTTCCCTTCTAACTGATTGGATCGAAGTACTAAACCTCACGATAACATGTCGGCTCCTTGTTCAGATGCTTCGACGATGTCTGGTCATGTAACGTGAAATGAATTGGTATAGATTTCTGTCTGAGGTAATATTAATAGTAATAGTGTGTGTAAAGATCATCTGCACTCAGTGTTCAGTAGTTATTACCAATCAAGATAAGCTGTAAACACACAGAAGTAGCCTAAGAAAAATGACAAGTTACTCGTATTTCGTTTTATTTGCTTTCATGATCAAGTTTGGTTGTTTTATTCAACACACCTATTTAATGACACATAGAATAGGAAAAAAATGAAGGAGTTCAGGACTTGTTCCTCGAGGAGATGAAAAATTGCATATTGATACAGTATTTTGACGTGAAATTACTCAATTATTAAGTAGATAATATCAAGTCAAAATAGAGGTACTAATGTGGCGTGTGCTGCCAATAAGATTTATCAGTAGTAATATAAAGAGACAGCAGGCAGATAGATTTGATGTCACAGAAAGCAAATGATACAGCGATGCGAAGATACATGAGAGACGTAAAAAGGAACACAAAGACACGCAATACGAAGAGGGACAGAAGTAGCACAATACGGAAGATCTGTGCAAATGGCGAGTTGAAGATAAGATGTACATAATTCCCTTATATAGAGATGCCAAATTGCAAATAAACATTCTTTTACCAAGTCTCTTGTCTTCTACCGCTACATTAATTCTTGATTAACATATTGAAAACGTTAGTAGAATTATGCGAAGATAAACACTTTTTCCAAGACTGGTCACGGACTAACTTCAATTAGAGAATCACTGGAAAAACTAGGATGGAGTTAACAGCTGTTTCGTGCAAGTTTGAGACTCTTCAATACTACTCCAAGTCCCAAACAAGGACGATGACACTCACTGGCGTTTATGCTATGTCGAGAACTGGCAAAAGTTAGGACTGATGGGACACTGGATTCCATCCTGGTGACTGAATAGTCTTAGAGCTCGAATTGCAGCCGAAAAGTCATGGTTCAATCCCCTGGCGGGTGCATACTGATGAAAGGTCCCAAACAGGGACGAAACAGTTATGCAGTACTCCACTGTTGGTTTTCTATAGTTTTCTAACTTAACTCGATTAGTGATAAATCTTGAAATCAATCAAATCCCTGCAAACTTATACTTGAAAACTTCACTCTTTCCCAACTACTTTCTGATCATAACGAAACTGACATCAGAGTTAAGAAATCATGAAATATCCGAAAGTACTGAGTACAGTTGTTTTGTTCCCGGCTTGGATATCAGTCTAGTGCTCACGATAGTTGCTGGTTCCAAGATAGATATTTCCCGAAGTACTGAATAGAATTCATGAACACCAGTGGGGACAACCAATTTAAGGGTGAAAACACTGTTCACTGATTTGAAAATAGCTCTATGAGTTTCTTTTCAATTTCATGTCTTATTAATCTTGAATTATTTTATCAACTTCAGCATAGTGACAGACTTTATATATTCAGTTATTCATTACGGAAATGACTTAATTATATGAAGAGTTTTCAGTAACTCTGTTTATTTGACGATTATTCTTTGACTTTAAACAAAAAACAACTGATATGGTTCAATGATGCAGGTCCTTCAGACACGAAGAAGGTTCGGGTTCGACTCCCGTCCGACGCGATCCTAAAACCTCAACTTATAAGTAGTAAGTTCGAAAAAGAGGGAACACTGAGCGTGAAACTAGCCACCCCATCCAGTGAAAACAAAATAACAATACAACTACTGAAACTTCAAAAGGCTGAAGCCCTATGTTCCATTTGGAACGCAAAGAAATAGAAAAAAAATACAAATCAAATCAATCAGGTTACCACTAGTGCTCCTTTTAGTCTTTGATAAGAATAACAATAAAACCAGTAGTCTGATTCAAAAGGATGATTTTTTCTAGATACTATCCATCAATTATCCACAGCTTAAACGTTGGAGTAGCTTTTCATATGGGCCAATAAACTATAAAACAATGTGAAGCAATTATTCTTATTCTTTTTCGTTCTGAGTGCAACACAGGCCTTCAAGCTTCAGCTTTGAAGTTTCAGTAGTAGTGGTTTTGCTCTTTTTAATGGGATGAGGTCGCTAGTCTCACACCTAAACTTCCCTCTTTACCAGGTTTACTTACCGACTAAGCGAAGTTTAGGACTGAGTTGGCCAGGGGTCGAACCCCCGAAACACGCGCGTCGTTGACGAGTGCTCAACTACTGAACTGCCAACGAACACCATTTAGAGTCTAAACCTACGAAATTTATAATAAACTTATAAAATAATATGAAATGATGGAATTATTATTATTTTTATTAATTGTGTAATTCAGATTTTGGGTGTGGTAGAGATTTTCATTAGTTTCGCTGTAGATTTCGTTACGAGCCGAAATCAATTAGAGAATCACCGAAGGAGCAAGGAGCACACTGAACAACTGTTCAGTAACAGTTTGTGAGACTCTTGAACTATGCTCACTCAAACTAGGGATGAAACAACTGTCCACTGTGCCTTTTGATCCCAATGATCCTCTAACTATTGCTGCGTAGATCAAGATCAACTTTGTTGATACACCTCTAGAAAGAATTAGCTATAATACTTTTGCCTTTAAAAAAAGAAAAAATAAGAATGGCTAGAAAACAGACAATCAATGCATGCATGCATACATACATAGATACACTTAACTCACCTTTTGAATCGATTATTTTGCCCACTAGACCAAGTTCACCAAATGTCCGACCATCTGAACCAACATGACCAATATGCCGAAAATCATTCTGTGGTAGACTGATTTGATCGGCTGTAATTTTTCCACGTGAACGTGAGGTATTATTATTATTATTATTATTATTCATTCCATCAGAAGGAATGATAACACTGAGTTTACTGAATCGAGATACTGTTTCTGTGTAAGCGAAAATAAAACATGAAAGAAATTTGAAAACAAAATAAATATAAGTATGAATGTAGCGAAGATAGAAACAAGTTAAGCAGTCTGGTTAAATTGCAAAAAACCTTTTGCTTTAACGAAACAACGAATCAACAGGTAAAAGACTCAACGATCTTAGCACAAAATATCATATATATATAAATATATATATATTAAGTGGTCTATTGTCACTCCTGTAGAAAATTATAATTCATCTGTACAAAGATGTGGTTAACTAGGCAGTTATGCGGTCAGATGAAATCTTAGGCGACACATGACCTTACATTAGACTAATAAAATATTAACAACTGTTAAAATTCATTGCGTTCTAAGTGGAACATTGGGCGCTAGGATCATATCTCCATTTTTTGATTGCATACTAGTTACTGAATAGTGTGCAATCGAAAATATCCTACAGGAGATCAATCGCGAGCCTGAATAGCTAAGTGGTAACGTCTCTGACTGCAGCACTGGGTGACGCGGGTTCGAATCTCAGAAGGGACATGAGTTCCTTCAAGGTTGCAGATGCGCCTTGCTGATGAGTGCCAACTAGCACGAAACCTAGTTCGAAGGCTCCCTGCCGATTGCCTCCAACCATCTAGTAGCAACATATCTCCATTGCAATGCATTGTGTTCTCTGAAATCACTTCCAACGATTGACCACAATCTTTCATCATTTCATTTTAACATGACCTTCTCTGTGTTACCGTCAGATATCTAACAAGTTTCTTTCCATTCAGGTTCCATTCGGGGGCCTGGATGGCGTGTGATGTCACATAAGTGTCTCTTCAGAGTATATCGAATCAGTCCATACTTTCTTTTGCGCATTGATTGAGCGATTGATTCTTAACTGGTTCTCTGTCAGAGTAGCTTGTTGATGATTATGTTCTCTGGTCATCACCTAATCTTCAAGTCCTAAGCCTCGTAAAGGGATGGGGGTTTGACGTGAGGCTAGCAACCATACTCACATCCATCACTAGGAAAAACCACCGCATAGCACGAAAACAACTAAGTGTTCGGGGATTTATCAGTAATGTCAGGTTTTCATACAACTTATCAAATCTTTGAGGCATGAGAAAAATCAAGTATATGGTGGAACACCATCGAAGGAACTATATGTTGTTTTAAGTGGAAAATATATTACGGGAAAAAGGAGAAGAAAAACTACCACTAGATCTGGAATTTTAAAAAGAAAAAAAAGAAAATGCTAACAGATGTTCAAGCATTTTTTTAGACATTATGTAAGTACTTTGTGAATATCAATCATATATATGTATATATCTCCATGTGTGAATAATAATTCCATATTTTTCTCGACTGAAAAAACACGACTATCTAATAGAATAAAAAATGATCTTACAAGCGAATAAGTAAAGAATAAGCCCATTAGGTTACTGAATTAATCAAAGGCTGACGACTGGTTCCCATTTGGACATACAGACCAGGGTTGTGCACTTTTGTCTGTGGTATTCTTAGTGAACCAACCGAAGAAGGCCATATAAATGATATTGAATAGTCTACTTAGTACCGCCTGTTTATCAACAGCTCAAACTGTTTGGTCCACCGAAATGAAGGGCCTTAAGTGAACAATCTTTTCGAATCTTGTCGGCGGAACTTTAGTCTTCAAAGACCTATCCATTCACCGTATCTTATTATCTTCCATCTTTTGATTACGATGAAATCAATCTTCCATGGCCCTACCTCCCCTATTTACATTGCTAACCATAACAAATCTTGTGCTACGACAAATTTCCTTCTAAAACGGCATATACTACTGACATCTTAGTGTCGAATAAAAAAAACTTTTGGATTCAGATTTCTACCAAATAAACTGAAGTGTGCATTTTTTAAATGGTGGTAATTTCAATGTCAATTTCATCACCGACCGCCATCACCAACCGACGGTAACGCCATTGTCTGGAGTTAGAAAATTCATGGGTTATTGAATTCTAACCCAGCGGCTAAATGATACACGGGATGGCCTTTGAGTTCTACTCCCGGTGGAGTACGCACTGATGAAAAGTTCCAAACAAACAAAGACGAGACAGATACCACCCAGCGCTCTTTGATCTCCACTGATTTTCCAACCGATGTCGGTTCAGCACAAAATTAATCACAACGCCAAATCGAAATCGGTTATCAGGCAATGTGATAAATATAACAGGCTCCACGACGCGGCTGAAGACAACGAACAACGTAAAACTAACTTATATAATTCAGTATGAATTAGTTTATTTGAGTTCATTTTTTCGTCAACTTTTAAATTGCCCTGTCTGTTGGAATGTTTATTCCTTTTACCATTCTTATTCAGGTCATCTGTAGATTTTGCCTAATGAGGTGGAAAAAGCGCATTAGTTCCCATTGCCAAACTTCGTAAACGTAATGAAAAGAAATGCAAAAGACTAGAATAGACGAAATCGAGTAAGAACATTTAGACTCCGGACAATAGCAGAGAGTGAATCCATCTGCGCCACTAGGAGTCATCACTTATTGATTTTTAGCATCACAAGAACTCCGAGCCAGACAGTCTTCACTACTTTATATGGTTGAAACCAACAATCAGGCATATCATAGATTAGTTTTATATTTCCAGTAGCATTGGATTTTGAGAATGCTATTCAGGAGACATGCGTAATATACCCCCTGTCCATCTGGATCAATCAAACATCGTTATCGTGGATACTGAACGAAGTCACATAAAAGTGAAAAGATTTATTGACTCACCACGGAATAAGAATAAAAGTAGGTTGTGATGATGAAGAATAACAAGGCCTTCAAACAATAAGGCATATAACCAATGTTAGTTACACAGATTTCAGTTTAGCTTAATTTTTCTAACTGATAGTATTATCCGTGTGAATATATATATAGCATACTCACTGAATACTTGGAAAATAAAACACAAACACCAGCGTTAATTCAAGCATTACAAAATAACCGCTTTTTTATAATATGCACAGAATGAAGGCGAACGAATACCAACAAGCGAACAAAAAAGTTGGAAGGAACAATAGAAACAAACAAACAATCAAACAGACAAATAAACAAAAATAGTAGAAAACCCACACAAAAATGAAATGCTAATTTCAGACAATGAATGCAAAAAGAGAGAAGAAATGAAAAAAAATAATAGAACTGCATGAGAAAAGAATCAATTAGTATTGTTATTCTCTTTCGTTATTTAAAATCTATTTGCATACAAAACAAAGCAGAACAAAATAAAAATAGCCCAATTTACAAGTTACACTTTTGCATACACTGACATTCGTTATCAATGAACCGATTAGTGTGAATAGGATTAGTTTGAAGTAATGACTAAAACTTTGAAGGAATTCATAATCATCATGGTAGGCAGGATGGTTAAACAAAGGGTTTTCTCACATTACTGTCATATGAGCTGCAGCACTCAACTCTCAGTGAATGATATTAAACAGAGACTGAGCGGCAGACGAGTGGTAACATATCTAACTGCGACACTATGTAACTGAAGAAGATTCCTATCGCAGAAGGGGAGAATCAACTCGTTAGAGGTGCTTTCGAGTGGGACCTAGGTCTCTAAGGCTTCACTTAGCATCAAACTGAAATCCAACTAGGTGTGCTACAAATATATTCTCATTAAGGTGTTGAATTTATGCGGGAGGTGAATCACAAAGAATTTCTATGCTCTAGAAGAAGTGATTACTAATGTTCCCTGGGAAATACTATAAGTGCCTTTGAAAATTAGTGAAACCTTGCAGCCACGACCATGTTGTGTAACGGTGGAGAGTGATCAGAAAGCATTGTTGACTGCCTGGATGTAGAATGCCCAAATCAATTAGACCATAACTAATTGAAATACACTAAGGTGTCTAGAAATAAGTGAATTTAGTAACTGTGATCCGATTTCTAGTCTAATTTGACAAATAGATCATGGGTTCAAATCCTACAACAACTGTTAGCAAGTCATATAACTTTGTTATCTTTCACGATTCTACACAAACACACACACACAAAAAAAAACAATATTAATATTGGTGGGAAATACTACGATGAATAAGCAGAACAAGAAGAATCCAATAGCACTACTAACAGACCTCATATTAACAACAGAAGCAGTAGTTGTATATTAATAGTACTTCGAAAAAGTACAGACAAATCTCATTCCAACCCGCTCCACCCAATATTTACTTATAAAGTTAACAAAGTCATACAAGCAAAAAGCATTCTGTAAATCACAAAGCAGATAAGCGCATAACATAACATTCAAAAAAAAGAAAAGAAAAACTTACTACGTATAGCCAAGTCAGTTAGTGAAGCTGAATTCAGATTATTAAGAAAATTCTACTTGTAGGCAGAAATCTTCACTAGTAATAAATTAAATACATTTATTATATAGTATTATGATCAGTTGAATTGGACGTGTTTGCTGAGCTGGTTGGTTGGATTTAACTGCAAAGCTTTCGTTGTCCACTATCTAGACAACACCTTCAGTGCAGGTGTTTTGTGCTGAAACTAGAGCTGGAGACGAAAGCTTCACGATTAAGTCATTCAACCAGCTCAGAGAACACAACTAATTCAGTATCATTCACCTGAGCTACAAATCTCTTCCATTATTTCAGTGGTATGACTTTGTATCAAAGATAATTAGACATAAGCAAAGATGACAAGTGTGTGTGTGTGAAGGGTAGAATTTCAGTGAGTTCTAGCCAAACACTACTCCGGCAAGACAGATATCCATTGGACTCCAGTTTTCATAAGAACTGTACTAAAAAGTGCGCGATTAATCACTTGCTGTGATGCGCTGGATAATCTAATGAATTAAATCCGACACAGAAACATATTTTGATCCATTTTATTTGAACCATTAAGGCAAATGAAGAACAAAGAGACTAGCAATATTTTGACTATTTCTTATAGTACTTGTCAACAGTACATACTGTGTCAGATCTAAGGTAACTTTTTTTTTCATTAACGATTTACCACATACTGTGATGAGTGCTACTGATAAGATTTATCAGTAGTATATAAAGACACGTTCATAGGCACAAAAACACATTTGACGTCACAGAAAGCAAATGATACAGCATTGTGCAGATACATGGGACACGTGAAAGGAACACAATATGAAGTGCAAAAGTAGCACAACATGAAGATCTGTGCTAATGGTGATTTGAAGATAAGGTATGCATAATTCGGATATATAGAGATACCAATTTCCAAATAAACACTCTACGTCTTCCACAGTTTCAACACTACTAACAAAATAGATGGCTGTCAGTCAGACATTTGCATCTCTACAATACGTATGAGTAAACAGTTTTATTAAATGTCTGTTCTTTTGAGTGTTATGCGTTAGCATACAAAATAAAATAATACACTGTGAGTTAATACAATAATAATCTTTGTCTACTAACCTCTTCTACTCATGCGCAGACGAGTTTTGGCTACTAGTCCCAGGGTATTTGAATTTCCAGAAGTATTATTATTGTTATTATTGTTATTTATAGCTGATGTTTGATCACGAAATGATGAATCTTTTTCGCCTGTATACGGTTTTAAAATACTCGATGGAATACAACCAACAAGACCAGTACGTAAATTGACTACTTTCCATGTTGTACTACTTCTACAAAAATTAAAGGGAAAGAAAAGAAGGAGAATAGAAGAGGCATTAGAAATTACAACGAACTCACCAACAACAACGACACCAACAACGCTTAAAATATACACTTGAGACATTAAATATCCTTAGGTGGGCAAATAAGAGTCACACTGAGAGAAGTACTACAGAGCGAGGATGTTACTTTTTTCAACTGAAGATATCAGTAACCTTGGCAATGAAAGAGTTGGTTGTTGGTCATCAATAACCATTACCCCAGAATGTTTTACTATCCGTACTGCACATATATTTAGTCGTCTCGTTTTTTCACGTGTACATAACAATTAAATGAATGTTGAGACGTGGACTGTTGATTTAAGCACTCGACTTTCGGTCAATAGGTCTCGGTGTTCACAATCCCACTTCCGCCTACTACAACCTGAGCAGTTAAGCAATGTCGTTAACCTTAATACACTATTTGTGACGCATATTATTATTATTTTATCATTCCCTGTGATTACGAGTGAAACAGCACATCTCCGTTTTGTCCTATTCTCTGCGGTCCTCATCAGCTGCCTGCGTGATTACCCATAGTGTCTCAGCTTCTCTACATACAAGATCACCTCAATGTCATCCTTGGACTCACGCCCAACTCGCCGTTTTTCACTCGATGGCCTGGAGGGCGATATCACCCGATAGCCTCCTCAGTGTGTGTCCAATCCATCTCCGTTTACTTTGGGATCTTTGTTGAGCAATAGGTTCTTGATCGGTTCTTTCCCAGAGTTTCTTGTTGCCAATTCTTTCTCTCTCGCTATCTGATCTCCATCAAGGAGCCAGAGAATGCAGTTATACATAAAAGTCTGCGCCTGATGCACCAAGTCTCCGACCATATACAGGGACTGACTTAACACTGGTATTGTTATTTATGCTGAGTTAGTGCAGCAGATTTCCAAACTGATTTCAGAGTGATGAAGTCCCGTTTTGCCTTTCCAGTTCTGGTTTTGACATCCTCATTCTTGCTGTCGCTGGTAGTTGAAACAATGCTGCCTAGATAAATGAAGGAAGTGACCTCTTTCAAATTTATCCCGTCGATAGTGATTGGTGCTGGTTGTTGTTGGTTGGTTGGTTGGTTATCTTCATCACCTTCATCTTCTCTATATTCACTCAAAGACCTCCCTTCGCTGCCAGCCTCTTCTCAAAACTGGCTGGTTTTCGCCTGCAGATCTTCCAGTTTATGTGACACTAGACATCAATTGTCCGGGAAGTACGGATCTTCTAGAGTCTTCTTATCTATCCAATGTCTTCTCGCATAATCCAATCTACTGCAGCTACACAGCCTTGTCTTACTCGCATATCTTCGCTTCAAAAGCTTCGCTCTGTTTCCCGTTGTGCATCACTTGATATGTGGTATTGTCATACAGCTGTTGAATGAGGTTGTGACTAAGTCAGTTCAGGGTTATCCGATTGTAACTAACTGACTAATTTAAATAAATTGGAACACAGAAAAAAAACAGGTCTAAGCTAGCACACAGCATTGCTTTTTACATAGTACCGTGTAAGCATTGAAGTTGAGATCCGTTCATATTTCTAATTAAATCAAGGATATTCAACAAAGGTATCGACTTGAAGGTAAAAATAAAAACATCTTCATAACACCAATATGAAAATCACATTGAACTAAGATGGTAGAATATACAAGAGAGAGAAAGAGAGAGGAGGCTAACATTCATTTCTTTCCATAACATAATTTTATTTAAGTGTGTTGATAGCTGGAATAACTCTTACCCTATTCATCTATCTATCAGTAATATATATATATATATATATATATATATATCAATGGTGTCAGTTCTGCTGTAAAATCGAGAATTTTTATCCATCGAATATATTAACTTCTGCATAAAACATAAAAGGTTATCAGCGATCATCAGCATAACTATAATAATAATAAAAACTGATTGACAGAAAATAAAAAAGATATGTTATTGTTTGTTTTAAAACAAGGAAGCCTAGTTTTTTTTTCCTACCCACTAAATAAATAAATCAACAGATCTTTTAAAATAACTGACTGATCACTCACTTAGAATAGGGATGAAAAAAGAATTGATTCAGCGAAGAAAAAAAACTTTCCGAGGATATTTGTTGTAAAATTTGATATGCGAAGGTGAGATTTCTTGGAAAGTCATCAATCTAAGTGTATCAAACACACTTCTTATGGTCAACAAATACACACAGAGTATATGCTCAATTTAATATGTACTATGCGTCGGTAGTTCATTGGTGGAATGCGCGCCAACCAAGAATGTGACCCGAAGTTTGATCCTCGGCCGACGCACTGCGAAACCTCCCCCAGCCGGTGATGAAACCGGTAAAGGGAGGAGGTTGGGTATGAAGCTAGCAACCACACCTCGCAAAAGTATAACACCACTGTTACCAAAAATTCAAAGGCCTACGTTTCACTGGGAATAAAGTAAAAATTATTTTAAAAAAAACAATATGTACCATGATAAACTAAGGCTTATGTAGACGTCTATATGGACCTATCATTTTCATATGCTCATATCGGGGCTAATTGTATTAGACGTAACAAGCAAGTACTCTAGAAGCACACAAAATCAAATATTATCCTGTATTCTGGAAAAAGGGGGAACACGGGAGGATGAAATTTTCATCATTCGCGTATAGGTGGAACGCTGGTCAGTCATACGTGAACAAAAACCGGGTGAAGCTATGTTCAAAAAACCTTTCTTCACCTTGGCTCTAACAATGTTCCTTGTGAGTCAATCTCAATCCACTTCAAATTGTCTCGACCTATTATTGTTATCAACATTATCGCAGTGATGATTGTAGAGTGTCAACAGCACTTGACCCACTTTAAACCTCTTAATATCAATTCGTTTCTTGAAAAACAAATCTTTTTCATTTATTTCATCCACATCGACCTTATTCCCTTCAAAAATTGTAATAGCTTAAAGCTTTGTCATAAGTGTGATTGACTAAGCAACTTTTAGTACCATTAAAATTACCATCTCACCTACAAGCTTGAAAATAAAGTCATTGAAATACAACAAAATATTTCCTCTTTGGATAAACCTTTTATACTTCTATTCTTATCCATGGATAAATGTGGTATACTTGGTCGTCTAAATGAGAACAGCGAAAGTAAACTATAGTCGATTTTGAATTAACACCAAGAAATTGACCACTACAAAATTACCAGCATTATTATAACTTGACTGACAGAATTCAATCAACACCATAAAGGACTTCAAAAATGATGCTGACCAAACTTCAGTGGACAAGTAATGTAACTATTCCGGTCCTACCGGATGTGAATCACAAGCTCAAGTAGCCGAGTATTAACATCTCTGACTGCAGTCCTCTGTGAGGCTGTGTTACTCATGCCTAGTCAGTCATCGCCTTCCTCGACGAGGAATGTTAGCTGACATAGGATCAAGTTGGAAAAGAGTTAGCTAGTGGTGGTCAAACGAAAACATGGCTTCATCTGCCAATGAAATCCATAACATTTAGTTCGAGCCAGTCAGGTAGGAAGATGTAGACTTCCTGATTAGGGTCCTCGGGATTCTAAAAATCAATGGCTGGAGACAATTGGCAATATGGTTCAAAATCGTTGTCAACGGTGAAGATGCGCTCACTCTTTGTAATCTCTTGAATCCACTAAACTGTCATGCTTCTCCCTAACATTTCTTCTTCTTCTTACTCTTTTGAATTTCTTTTCTTCGCTGTTTTGTCTTCCTTAGTGTGCTCTAAATGGAGGGTGGTGACTCGAACTGCTATTCTTCTGTTAAACGTCCTATGTCCAGTCAGCCAATCATTCAGCATCCGAAGAGAGTTGAAGATGCGCCTCATTGACGAGTGCCAACAAACACGAAACCTAAGTTTAGGGTTTCTTGTTGAGGTCCTTAAATCAACCATTTAAGTACCATAACCCATTCACACTCCAGGTAAAACGATCGTTAAGCAAACAATGTTAGTTTAATTAGCAATAATTGTATGTGACAGCCGTTAATGTCATTCTTTAGTATAGAAAGCATCTTCACCTTGAAAGTTTTGCTATTCACTTGATGGTTCCAAAGTGCCAATTTCGTGAAGGAATATCTTTTTTAAAAGATTTAAAAGACTTCCCTAATTGACTATCTTATTTTATATATTATTTTGTCTATTAGGCAATCCTGACAGATTCACTGTTCCAATCCAATCAAACAAGTTATACAGTGGGTTTACAACTAAATTGACGATGTTTACCGTAAAAGAAGAATATATCTTAATACCGCACCCCCCCCCAGATGCTTGACTGGAAACAGTCTATTCACAGTTCTATTCTAGCCATACAATTGTCACACAAATATAACATTACCCAGGCCTTTAAAAAGTAATTTATCGCATTTCTACGAATCCTAATTTTGCTTTATAAAATAGTCTTTTAGCGTACAGATTGCAGAAACCAAATATGTTATATTGTGAAGAGGAAGTGAATAATTAATCATTATTCTAAGTGACTGAATCACAGAGAAAGGCTACATAGTTCACAAATTTGTACAAGCGAATGATTCTAAGCCAGCAAGCCAGTCAGTTGGCAGATAAGAAACTTAATCGAAATCATTAAAATCTGGATTAAAAGAGAAGAGAGAGAACATTGAGAATATGAATTCAGAGTGTAGGAAAACTGCAGAGTTTAGAGTGATACATATTAAGTAAAAACTTTTTACACATAATAGAAAGCCTCAAGAGTATTTCATCAAAACTGAAATACTACATATACGGAGAAATTAAAACTATTCGGATGAAATAAATATACATTAAATGGCTTACCGTTTACCGAGTACACAAACTGTTTCATTTGCTCGAATAAACAATGGCCGACCTAGTGATCGTGTTCCATGCGGACGAAATCCAGGATTATATGGAAATTCTTCACTTGTACTAATTGTATCCATATTAGGATCTGAATCTGGACGATATTCACTTGTAGTTATCCAAACTTCAGGACTAAGACGTGGAAGCATACCTGTGAATATTAGGAAATTATACATACGATGATATATATATTCTTCATCCTTAAAAGACAAAGATACAAGACATGAAGATTAATTAACTCTTTTCATCAGTGTCCCACTTACGGAAACTGTTTGTTCATATGTAAATATATAGATGATGACCAGTTAAACATTAGAATACCAACAAAATGTTTGAACGAACTGATGCTGAAGTGTATACATATATCAGTTCACCTGTTCAACGCGTATCCCGTCTAGGAGGGTTGCCAAACACCACCCCACCGGTGATAGTGGCTCCACTATGAAAAGTGTGATAATCGAACACATTGTCAACATTGGTCATTCCATCTCAACAGACGCCTCCTTCAAAATAATCTACAAAGTGAAGAACAGCCGACCACCGAAGGCAATACACTTTCGTCTCGTTTGCATTGTTGAAGTTTTAGTTATTCAGACAGAGAAACTGGAGTTATACATACAACAGAAAATTATTCAGTAACACCACCCGCGTGAAATGGTATGATAAGGTGAGCAATATTGAGGTTAGGCGTCGAGTGCTAGGTAAGGCGGGGAAATCAATAGACGAGACCGTGAAATTACTTCGACTGAGATGGTTAGGACATGTGCTACGTATGCCTAGTCATCGCTTTCCTCGACGAGCAATGTTAGCTGACATAGTGTCAGGCTGGAAAAGAGCTAGCGGCGGTCAAACAAAAACATGGCACCAATCAATGAAATCCACAACAATTAGTCTAAGCCACGTTGGAAGGTGTGGACTTCCTGGTTGGGGTCCTCGGGATGGTAAAAACCAATGGCGGTTGGAAACAATTGGTGACATGGCTCAAAATCGTTCTCAGTGGCGCAGATGCATCCACTCCTTGTGACTTATGGTTTCCAATGAAACTGTTTTGTTCTTCGTTATTACTAATCCCTTGTCTCACACCTCTGTTTACAGTCTCTAATATACATTTCTTCCACTTTCTTCTCTTCCTTTGTGTGCTACATGGAGTGTGGCGACTTGAACTGCCGCACATATGTGCAAAGTTCTATGTCGAAAACCGACCGACCGATGGTGACAGCCTTGTTGATTTCCACTAACTTTATTTTTGTTTGTTTTGTGTAACGCCTCATAACTCTTATATTTCATATCAACTCTCTCGTAATTCTATGTATTTCTTCGTTTCTATGTGCACGCTGATTACAGCTCATTCATTAAATTATTTATCTTATTACGTAACTCCAATATACTTATTCAACTCCTCTTATGACTATGACAATCCATTGCTTTTATTAGTATCCTCTTTCATGAAAAGAGATTGCATATAAATGAGATTGTACAGCTAAATAGGAATATGAATTCTCTGATAAGAGCCTCTTCACTGAACTAGGTGTTTTCTTTTCGTGAATGTAATTATGGTGCAAAGAAGAAATAATCCTTCATGCAAACTGGAGTAAGTTGATTTTCCAATATCTCTGTCTGTGTCTGGATTCAACATAGAACTTGGCACCGAAGTGCAGCAGTTCGAGTTGCCACGTTCTAAATAGCACACAAAGGTAGACAAGAAGATGAGTGAAGAGAATCTATAGAGTTTTGACAGGTATAAGAGTGAAACAGAATGAGTAATATAGACTTAATATAATAATATAGACTTAATTTATAACAAAACCGGCTACAAAAATGACAGTTAATCGGTTACTTGATATTAAATCTATTCCTTTGAATTCAGAGCACTAAACAATCATGTGATGGTCAGACAATCTGGGATCGATAATCTTAGATACAGTAATGACTGAAAGTGAAATTAAATTATTTGGTTCCTGAAATGTTCCAATCACCGAAATCCTTATTTCTATAACACCAGGTGAGCAAAGAGACTGAGCTGCAATCATCATCAGTGATGTCCATTTATCACGCGAATAAATGACAAGTAAATATCTGTCCACCATAACAATACCTTTTCAGTTGGGTTTTCTCCTGTCAATCATACTGGTGTATAAGAAGGATGAGAGAAGCAGAGTATTAAGTGATGATGAGACCGTGTGGAACAACTTTCGACTGACAGACAACTAATGGTGCAATTTTTTTTCATTCTTTGTGATCCCAGTAACATATATGGCTTCAAGCTTTTTGAAAAATTTCGATGGCAGTGGTGTCGCTTCAGTGGGGGTGAAATTGCTGACCACCCTAAGCCCAACCTTCCCACTTTTCTGGCATTACTGGTGGTTGACAAAATAGACGAGATTAGTGAAGTGCATCGGCCCGGGAATCACACACCGGGTAACGAACGATTGGTGAGCGGAATTCCATCATTGGACTATCGATGCACCTGCTACTTATATAATGGGTGGTGATTATTACTACACTTTTAAACTCCAAACTAACATACTATAAGAGTCAGCTAATTCAAAAATTAAAGTCAATCAGATAGGTGATAAAAAATGGATCTAGCAGGATTTTAACTAAATAAAAAAAGAAGATAAATAAACAGCTTATTGTTAGTTTTAAACGCTTAAATAAAAAATTTCCCGACAAAATATATACATTTCAAAGGAAATAATAATAAACGCGCAACGACGACATTGTGTTACAGCAATAATTGAAATAAGGTAGAGATCCAATTTAGAATCTTGCACAGAAGTGTATTTCTTCACAATTCTATATACTACTGTAACAATACACAAAGAGGAAGTAAACACGACTACTATGTGCACCACACCAGTAAAGCACTAATTGAAAGAAAGCATAAAAGGTGTGAAAGGAAATAAATATCCAGCAACAGCAGCAGCCATCTAACCCTTAATTTTTGGTTATTGTCTTTTTTTCTTCTTTTTCTTCCAAAGAAAAACAATAAACAGAACACATTCACACCTTTTAGCAACTCTATTTAGCTTGTTATAAATCCAAGGTAGATTTGATTAATGGGTATCAGCGAAAACAAATTAAGCATTTCTAGTATTACACACACGCACACATTATTAGAATCAAGCTGGTCGGAAGAGAACTAGGCCTGTGAGCCGTAGCTACTACCTACCTAAGTGCCCGCGGATAGGAGTTACATAAAGAGCTATTCTAACTCGGGACGTGTTTGGCTGAAAACTGTGACTGCAATAAGTCAGTAGGATACAACATCTCGCACCAAAAAAAGATATACGATTGAGACAATCAAATACAATAAAGCAAAGTATAAAATTTGGTAGCTGAAATATAACAAAAACTTGTGAAACTACAGTTGTACTTTTAGATTTTATGTATGTGGCTCTGCGCATGACGTAGTGCTTTTTATAGCAGGACTGTTTAATCGTATTAGTGTGTGTGTGTGTGACAGGTGTATCACAGTGAAGACAAAACAAACGGTAGCTATAGAATGAAAAGATAGGTGAGAAAATTTTTTTTTAAAACTACTTGTTATGCACATAACAACCACCAGTTAATCTTTACTGTTCTACATGATTAATGAATGTTTTAGAAGTGAAAGTGTGAGAATTTCACTAAAGAAAGAGAAACAAAACACTTACGTAGAATACAACTCAATAATTTTATGCACAGGTTGGCTTAATTTTGAACTATTAGCCAAGAAAGAGTGATTGTACGAATTACTAATACAATAATAAATAACAATATCTACCGTTTTTAATCGGATCAGAGTATAATACGTGTCATCTTTTCATGCGATGAATCTACTCATCACTGATATACAACGTGAGTGCAAACAGCATAATCAGTCTATACACATACACACACTCAACTGCATGCTGATTTGCAACTTGACACAGCTTATTACGTCAAGAGTTGATTTGTAAGGATTCGATCTGTTTTTCGAGTTAGCCAACAGACTGATATCAGTCAGAGGACTATTGGAAACCAGGGAGTACTGGACATCTGTTTCGTCCTAGCTTGGGACTAATCAGCAATACACACCCACTGGGTTTCGAACCTATAAAAGGTGCACCTAAGTAGAAGTTCTTCTAACCTGGGTGTCAGTATTCCGATATTCAAGTCTCTGTCTTCCAAGTACTTGTATAAGAAACAAATCGTCTTTGTAATCGGGACATTTGCGAAGAGAGATTCGACATCGAGTGATATTATGCGACTGTCGCCCATTTTCATATGACTCTGATACAGTCGATAAATTCAAACCCATTTCGAACAATTATGCCAATAGATCAAATTCACAATTTGCACAATTCGAGATGAAATTTCACCAGACAGTTTTCTTTAGAATTAAAATTTATTCAGCTTATAAATGTGATCTGCTTGATAATGTCAACGGTGATCAACAAAGCAAGCATAATTGCATGAAAGAGTATATACTACTGACTGATTGGTATAAGTAGTCGTATGCCACTTATATCTCAACCAGTAGTGTTTGTTAGCAGCCATTGATGACTTCGGCCCTAAAATTAGCGAAAAAACCCGTCTAATGTGATAAGATCACCTCGATCCGGCTAGCAAGCGCTACTACTACTTGATGTTAGTGGTATACAACCACTCATTTCACTCAATCAGTAGTATATAATTTCTAAATTTAATGCAAGAAAAAAACTGAGTAACAAACGGAAATCCTAAAGCGATATAAATCTATGATGAAGACAACGGCAGATAAAATATAGAACCGAAAATGAAGATAGGGAGTGCAGTGGTGGAGCATGTGAACCACTTCACTTATTTCGGAAGTTGCATCCACCCCAGTGAACTGATTGCTGACGAAATCTCACCATGGATACAAAAGTGTCGTGCGATATTTGTCAACTTACTCCATCTCAGGCATAGACGTGATATCCACATATCGATCAAAAGTAGTGCGTACTATGCAGCAGTGTCTGTGTTCCGTCTCCGATCTTAGGTGATATACTTATGGCGACTAATGTTGAGGTTGGGTGTCCAGTTTTAGGTAAGCAGGGAAGGTCAGTCGATGAGGTTTTGATGGTAAATTGTTTGACACGGCTAACCATCGCCTTCCTCTATGGGAAATTTTAGCTGACATAGAATTAAGTTGAAATATAGTTGGTG